TAACCAACATTTACAAGATCTTAGCCAAGGTTCTCTTGTTGAGATTAAAATTAGTTCTCCTAGTTGTAATCACTCAAAATCAAGGGGCTTTCATTCAAGGGAGGCAGATAGCTGATCAGATTCTAGTTGCTAGTAAATGTGTCGAGGATCTGAAAAGATCAAAAAGGAAAGGTTTTGTGTGCAAGCTAGACCTAGAGAAAGCTTATGATTTGGTAGATTGGACTTTCCTTATTGAGGTGATAAAAAATTATGGGTTTGGGGAGAGATGGTGCAAATGGATTTTAGGTTGTCTTAAATCTTGCCACTATTCCATTTTGGTTAATGGGATTGTTAGAGACTTCTTTCCATCTTGTCGGGGTTTGAAGCAAGGTGATCCTCTCTCACCCTTTCTTTTCACCTAGTAGTGGATGTGTTTAGCAGAATGATCTTAAAGGCCAATAGGGAGACTATAATAAAGGGTTAGAAAATTGGAAGAGAGAGGGTCCCGATCACCCATCCATAGTTTGTTGATGATATTATAAATTTATAATTTTCTATGAGGGCGGAGAGAAAATTTTGGTAAGGAATTTGAAGGATCTAGTTACGAGAAGTTTGAGCTTACCTCTAATCTAAAAATCAACCTTGATAAGAGTTGCATAGCAAGAATCAATATGAAGGAAGAGGAGCTAAACTTTGTTGCAAATATTTTAGAGTGTCCCATTGCTAGTTGGCCTCTAACCTACTTAGGACTTCCTCTAGGAGCAAACCCTAAGGAGAGCAGATTATGGAACCCCATAGGGGAGAGATGTGCAAAGAAACTAGCAGCTTGGAAGAGGAATAACATATCTTTGGAAGGAAGGATTACTTTGATTAAATCCACGCTTGTCAATCTTCCAATCTATTTCCTATTGGTTTTTAGAATCCACCAAAAAGAAATAAAGAAAATTGAGGAGATTATGAGGGATTTTTTGTGGGAGCCGGGAGATGGAAGGATCATCTGGTTAAGTGGGAGGTTGTGTGTAGGAATCTTCAACAAGGAGGATTAGGTATTGGTAGTGTGGATAAAAAGAATAGGGCTTTGCTAGGGAAATGGCTTTAGAGGTGGCCGATGGAAAGGGATAGATTGTGGCATGAAGTAATAGCTAGCATACATGGAAGGATGGGAAATGGTTGGGAAGCAAGTTTATCTACCAGAGCTACTCTAGAATCGGCTTGGAAAGTAGGTCATAGAATTCTACCTCGCTTTCTTTGTTTCGCCAGGTATGATGTTTGCTCTGGGACTTCTGTTAAATTCTAGGAGGATACTTGGGTTGGTTCTTGTCCATTAGTGGAGCTCTTCCCCTCATACTTAGTTTGTTTGTACAAAAATGAGTGTGTCAAGATTTGTTGCTCCCCCATTACATCCCGTGGGCCTTAACTGGGACTTTGGTTTCTGTAGAGAGCTTAGGGATAACGAACTTTCTGCTTGTACGGTGACTCCTCAGCTTCTTCCTTTCCCTTTAAAGAGTTGCGGGGTAGACCCATCCCACCCAGAGTAAGAGCCTTTTGTGGGGATCAGTACTTCACGAGAAGATAAATACTATCGACTTGCTACAAAAGAGGAGACCTAAGTCATGTCTTTTCAATAATTGGTGTGACTTATGCAAATCCAATAATGAGAGTTGTCTTCATTTACTGATTTCTTGCCCCTTTGTTGCAGATATTTGGCTTTGGTTTGTTTCTTTGTTCGGATGTAGGTGGACTTTACCAACAGAGGTTAATATGTTATTTGATCCCTCCTTGTTTACTCGGCCGAAGAAGAGAGGGAGGATAATGTGGACATGTGTCAAAGCAGCCTTGATTTGGACCATCTGGGAAGAGAGGAATGCAAGAATATTCTCAAAGGAGAGATGCAAGTAAGAAATCAGGACTTGTATGATGGTTAGGGTGATCCATTGGATCAAGACTCTAAAGGTGTTTTCCCAGTTTTCTTTTGATGATATTTGGAGGAATTAGGAAGCAGTTACTAAAGCTCCAAGATAAAGGACAGAGTGGAGATTGTCTGGGTACCACCATTTGAAAGTTTTGTTAAACTGAACTTTGATGGGATCAGTCGAGGTAATCCAGGCCCTTCTAGAATAGGAAGGGTTTGGAGAGATGAAGAAGATAAAATTACAGCACTTTTTTCTGGCCCGGCAGGTATGGGTGACTCCCTCAAAGTGGAACTGCTTGCTGCAATTCAAGGGGTACAGATAGTGAGCTAAACTTAACAAATGTAGTGATTGAAGGGGATTCGAAAGTGGTGGTAGAATGGGTAAAGAATCCAGAGTCTATAATCTGGTGCTACTGGAATGAAATGAAAAATTCACATGACTAACTAGGAATATGAATTCGAGGATTCAATGGGTGAGGAGATCAGCAAATGGGATGGTGGATGCTTTGGCTAAGCAAGGGGCGAATAGGTCCATTTTATTCAAGGCACACTTGTAATGTTTTTCTTTTTGTATGAGAGCTAGCAGCTCGCACCTCTCTATGGGATGCTTGTAAAGATATGACATAAAGTTTATTAATAAAATTCAAGTTATTTATCAAAAAAAAAAGAAAAAAAAAAGCAGGATATTGAATCAAATCACTTAACCTTTAAATGTGACTCAGCTGAGCCAACCAGCAATTCAAGGCAAGTCTAGATTAAAAAAAAAAAAACTAAGAAACAATTTGCACAAAGGTTTAATGAATAATTATCAAGATAATATGTGAAATCTCAAGACCTGATAATGATTTCTATCAATACTTGAAAAAGAAGTTTTAGCATTCTGCATGAATTCAAACCTAGTAACAACTAAAGTGTAACATTATCTAACTAATAATAAGATACAATACTATAAAGCAATTTAATATCAAACTCAGGAATTCTGCTGAACTCAGTAACTAAAAAAGTAGAAGTTGGCCTCTAGATATAAAGCTATGATCAGTGATTTAAATGGCACACCTAGACGCATAGGCAATGCGCATTTTGGGGTATGCGCCTCGCCCAGGTCCTAGGTGCACCTCTTTCAAAAGGCACGCGCCTGGTGCGCCTAGGCATGCACCTTTTTAAAATTTTGCGCTTTTTGCTTTTTTCCCCAGACCCCCGACCACACCCCTCGAGGCAAGCCCGAACAAGTCTATGTTAGGGTCTGAAATTCTTGTTTCTCACATAAAAAATAATGATTTTACAACTTTCATTGCCTTTTAAAAAGATATTTTATTGCAATGAATGAATGAACAACATAAGCAAATAGGGGGTTCTCGAAGCTTCGGTGAGTGAACGAAGCGAGCAAACCGGAGTGGAGAGAACCCCCTATTTGCTTATGTTGTTCATTCATTCATTGCAATAAAATATCTTCTTAAAAGGCAAT